TCCCCGGATATATTTCTTCCAGGGAAATTAACTCACCATTGAATAAACTGCTTTCCTTGCTTGGTTCACGAATAAGCTACTCACATCTTGAAAAGTACAACATTCAAAGCCCAGTTTTCTCAATTTTTTTTTTATTTAATAAACTGTTTTTAATGTTTTTATTTTATTTTTTGAGAGGCAGAAAGAGAGAGAGAGAGCATGATCAGGGGAGGGGCAGAGAGAAAGGAAGACACAGAAACCGAAGCAGGCTCCAGGCTCTGAGCCGTCAGCACAGAGCCTGACAGGGGCTCGAACTCACAGACCGTGAGATCTTGACCTGAGCTAAAGTCGGACGCTTAACCGACTGAGCCACCCAGGCGCCCCTCATTTTTTTAAACGTTGAGTATGCACTAATAATTTTTACAAAATAAAGTGTCACGATATGGTGATAGGTATGACCCTCAAAACACTATTGCGTTATAAGTGTGTGACTGCAATGTATGGTGCAAAGTGTTGGGTGCCCCATACTGTCTGTGTCACATTGGTTTAAACTCAGCCATTGTATTAGGGAATCGGCCGTATACAATATGTAAACGAACATGGCTGTATCTCAATAAAACGTTACCGGACGTTGGGACATTTATGTGAATTTCATATAGGTTTCACAGCTCATATTATTCTCCTGTGGTAGTTGCTTTAAACCACTTAGAAATGTAAAAAGCATTCCTGACCATTCACGACTCTCATACAAACAGGCCCAGCCATGGTTTGCTGACCCCTGCAGTTGAAAAAGAGAAAATAAGCTTTGTTCACATCCCTCACGGTTGGGTTGTTTTTCCCACTATCTAGTGAGGGAAAGGAGGCAAACTCAAGTAAAGCAGAAAGAAGGGGAAACCTTCAAGTGCTGTTTTTTTTGAAACTATCGATAAAAGAGCCAAACATCCGACAAGTTGAACTTCTCAAAGAAAGAAAGCACAGTATTGAAAACGGTCAGGAATAAACGGGGAGTTTTTCTCATTTCAACACAGTTACGGACCATCCTGGTAAAGCTGACAGAGATCGTAGAGAATAAGGATGTTTGGTTGGAGAGGGGAATTTTGTGTTTCAGTGCAAGGCTCCGCATTGTTAGGAAGCAACAACCCTCTGGGTTCTACTGGGATTCCAGAGACGCTGTCCGTGCCCACCTCCACCTGCCCTGCAGCCGACTCACAGCTCTGTAAGTTGCCAATACCTGATGGCAAGCAAACAGTCCTGAGCTGTAGATGTGCACATAAATAAGTTCTATTCGCTAGAGAGTCGGTTGATTTACTTCCCGACTGCGGAGAAAATCAGTTTCGCGTCCATTTATAAAGTCATTTCAACATTCGACTCCACAGTTGTGGTTCTTTCTCCTTTGAACTAATAGTGACATGTTCTCAGTTCCCTCCCTGAGTAAACAACAACAAACAATGTTTATTATCTTGTGTTCATTTGGTATCTAACCGTATGAGAGTCATTTCACTTTGTGTTGAAAACCAACCTTTAACATAAATAACCAAGGACGATATAGAACGAAAAGGAAAAAAGTACCTCCGTACGTTTCTGGAGCACTTTCCAATCTTTAAGGAGCAGAGCGTCCCTGGCGCAGAAGGCGGAAGGCTGTTCAGTCTGTCTAGGCCGAGCGCACTGCCCGACCCAGACCCGCAGCAACGCGGTGCTAGAACGCGGGGCAGAACGCGCCTGACACCTGCGCTGACCCGGCCAACACCTGCGTGACCCGGCCCATCTCCGGAAGCGCAAATCCCAGCCCCTGGGGGCGGGGCCTGACCCCCTGCCTCCACCAAGTGCCGCCAGAAGTGCGGATGAGCCCAGTCTTCGGCTAAAGGTGCTAAGGCCCGGCGGAGCTCATCGGCACGGCTGAAGCATCCGGCAGCTTCCGCGAGCTGCCCGCTCCCGGCCTGAGGCCCGCACCCGCAGTGACCTAGTCCTGCTCGAGGCCCTGGGCCGCAGGGGCCGCACACAAATGAAGGAGCAATGACGCTGCCTCCCGGTGGGGGGTTAGCAAACCTCACAGCAAACTGCCCGGCTACTGGCTTCACCTTTTATTGGTCCTCTCAATCCTCCATGCAGAGCGCCCAACCCTTTCCCCACCATTGACCAAACACGGAAGGGGTGGGCGAGGGAGGGGGCTTCAAGCGCGGTAGCATTTAGAAGCCAATAGGGGCGCCTGGGTGGCTCAGTGGGTTAGGCGACTTCTGCTCAGGTCATGATCTTGCCATGCCGAGCCCCCGCGTCGGGGTCTGTGCTGACAGCTCAGAGCCTGGAGCCTGTTTCAGATTCTGTGTCTCCCTCTCTCTCTGACCCTCCCCCGTTCATGCTGTCTCTCCCTGTCTCAAAAATAAATAAACGCTAAAAATAAAAAAATTTAGAAGGCAATAATATTTGCTAGGGACGCCCGACCCCACACCAGAAAATGGAAACAAGTTGGTTGTGAATAAATGAAAGCTTCCTTCTGGAATTAAAGTATCACTGATCTCCTCACAAGTTTATAAATTACGAGGAAAAGACAACTTCAGGATGGAGAAGTGACAGGTGCACCTTAACCCAAGGGCTCAACATAAACATCACCACAAATGTGAGGAGCGGAGATCCTGCCTCTTGCTGTGATGCGCCAAGAACACAGTATGAAGACTGGGGCCTTCCTACAGAAAAAAACTAAATTAAATCTAATTATGAGGAAACACAAAACCATCCACTCAAGGACATTCTACAAAGTCAGACAATACTTTTACTCAAAAATGTCAGTCATGAAAGACACAGAAAGGCTAAAGGGACATGAACACTAGATGCAGTCAGGGATTCTGGGATGGATCCTGGAACAGGGGAAACGAATGAACTATAAAAAACATAATCTGGAAATTGGCAAAAATGGACTATGGATTAACAGTAGTGTATCGATGTCAACTTTCCTGATTTTGAAATGTACACTGGTTATAGAAGTGTCCTTGTTTCTAGGAACTAGACACTGAAATATTTGGGTCAAAAGGGTATGCTTCTTTAGCTCAGTAGATTAAATGTACGTGTATGGGTGCCTGGGTGGCTTAGTCGGTTAGGTGACTGACTTCAGCTCAGGTCATAATCTCACTGAGAGTTCAAGCCCCACATAGGGCTCTGTGCTGACAGCTCAGAGACTGGAGCCGGTTTCAGATTCTGTCTCCCTCTCTCTGCCCCTCCCCTGCTAGCACTCTCTCTCTCTCAAACATAAAAAAAAATAAAAAAAAAAAAAGAAAGAAAGAAATGTATGTACACACAAACACACACATATGCGCACGAGTGTAAGGCAACTGGGGCAAAACGAACAATTGGTAGATCTGGGTAGGTGAAGTTCCTCGTACTATTTTTGCAAGCTTTCTGCAAGGCAAACTGTATCGAAATTGTCACACATTTTTACAGTGCTTGCTGTAGCTATGGCCCCACAGAAGGCATGGGCAGGACCAGTGCAGAGCCAGGCTGGTCTGGTTTCTGCCACCTTGCAGATTGGGACACACCCATGTTCGCAAACATGCCCAACTTGCCGGGGACAAAAAAGTGGTCAAATGTGTGGATCACCAACTGAAGGGCTCCTTTCCCCCACTACTCAACAGGCACCAGCCCAGCCTAACGCTCCTCCCGCCCACCCTTTGATCCTAAGCTCAGAGCCACCTATCTGGGCTACAGCCAGCAGTTCTGTCTCCCTTTAAACCCATGCACACCCTGGGGCACCTGGGTGGTGCAGTCTGTTAAGGGTCCGACTTCAGCCAGGTCACGATCTCGCGGTCCGCGAGTTCGAGCCCCGCGTCAGGCTCTGGGCTGATGGCTCAGAGCCTGGAGCCTGTTTCCGATTCTGTCTCCCTCTCTCTCTGCCCCTCCCCCGTTCATGCTCTGTCTCTCTCTGTCCCAAAAATAAACAAACATTGAAAAAAATAAATAAATAAAAATAAAATAAACCCATGCACCCCAGTGTCACTGACCCTCCTCCGCCTCCACACACACTTGAACCTCATCTGTTCCAGGTACCAGGCAGACCCCACCCATCCAACCTCCTACCCACCAAACCCAACCTTCAAACATGTGAGGAGTGTTACCCTTTCAAGACAGGTTCATTAGCCCAGATTGTGTGTACCCAGGAGAGGCCAAGGATCGAACCCCGGGGCAGACAGGGTGAGGAGAGGGAAAGCATCTCCCCGACTTCTTCCTGAAGCCAAGGTTAGTGCTCAGGGCCTGCCAGGGCCAGGCAGGGTGGGGCTGGCAAGCAACGTGGCCACGGGGCTCAGCTCTCCAGGATGTCCGCCGTCCGTACGCCCACGGCCCAGAGGCCCCTTGCAGATGCTGCCACCGCAGAGTGCTCTTCAGGATTTCTGCCTTGAGAAAGACTCCTGCCCTTAGCGCTACTGGCACAGAACCCACATAGGACACAGGCGAGGTTACTGTCCAAGGTTTATTGAAGGTATTACAGCACAGCAAAGATTCAAACGGCTCCACGTGGTGTTTTGAAATTCATGCCAACTGTAGGCTGGGTGACCTGCAGGTTGGACAGACTGCCAAAGTCCTGGAAAACAACAAAGTGGGTTCAGTGTGGCCGTACTGCTGAGGTCTGTGATCGAAGTCCCAGTACCACCGCCAGGCCTGGCCTATCGGCGTCCACCAGCTTGGAGTCAGAAAGCCAACAGGGGCCTTCTCCCTGCCCCAGAACAATGAACTCACAAGGGGGTCTAGTTGAGATCTGGAGGAACATGCACTCCTAACAGCCAGACGTCAGCGTGCTGTCCTGGACACTGTAGGATTTTTAGCAGCATCCCTGGCCTCTGCCCATTCATGTCTGCTAGCATCCCCTAGCTGTAGCAGCCAAGTGTGTCCAGACATTGCCAAATGTCCCGAGGGTCATCTTTTCCTTTGAGGATCACCGCCCTGGGCCACATACAGGGCCACACGCAAGTAGGAAGCTTCACTAATTCAAACAGTTGTCGAGAGCCTGCCACACACCTGGAACTTCATGCCCCGGTTCATCCTCAAAAACCAATTTTATAGAAAAAACTAAAAGGCTACACTCAGGACAGTAGTTATTTCTGGAGAAAATGGTCCACAGCAGACCTTAGCTATGCTCGTAACGTCTGAAATTGGGTGGTAGATACACAGTTCCTTCTGCTCACTACCTACCTTTCCAGATGTCTTACACATTTTGCGATCATAAAAAAGAAAAAATGAAGTTGCTCTGAATCACTGTGTGCTGGACTTTGAAGCCCAGATTACCCTCATCAAACCATGAAGAACTAAGAGAAGCCACACAAAGGTATCTTAACTGCCACACACATGTGCCTGGTAAGCAAGCATGTGCAGAGGAGACGACACTTCTTACGAGTGGCCAGGATACAGACACAGGAGGAATGACGTCCCCGAGGGAAAGCACGAAGTATGAAGGGACAGCAAGAGCTGGAACCAAGGGGCAAAGGGAAGGAGCGGCCAGAGACAAGAAGACAAGGAAAGAAGGGAGGAAGGGTGTCCTGGAAGCCATGGGAGAATGGCCACTGCCTTTGGGAGTTACCTTCCGGTGGAGTGCAATCTCCATCTTCACTAACCAGCAAACCCCATGTTGGAGGCGGTGTGTCTAGTGGTCAGAAGCGTAGATGAGATTCCCAACCCTCCACCCACTAGTGTTCAAGCTGCCATTTCCTCAAGTAGGAAACGCAAATAGCAGAATGGGTCTCTTGGGGCATGGGGAGGACAAAAGGAAATCATGTATGAAGGACGTTGAGAAGAACACCTGGCTGCTAGTTTTAACAGAGATCATGGAAAGCTACTGATGGTTCTCAAAATCCTATTTTAGAAACTCAGCGCACACTTACCAAAAGTTTCAACATTTCCTTAGTGTCAGGATCTACTTCAATGATCTCCTGATCCAGGGCTGAGACCTAGAAGTAACAAGGCAGGCCCCAAATATCAACGAGTGAGTTCTCTCTCACTTTCCCCACCTTTTCCCCAAGATTCTTAAATGGGGGGGTGGGAGGGGGAAGAAGGGAGGAGGGCATCCCGCAAGGTGAGCAGTGTGCGTAAGGATCCCAGCACCCAAGGATCAGTTATCCTGGTTTTACCTTCCTTTACCCTCATGAACATCCAACCAGTTTTCAGTAAACCTCAACACCAGGTGCACACCTCCGGAATGTTATGCTAAAGCAAATACTCAAACCAGGACAAATGGCCATCGGCAATCACTCAACACACACCACTAAGGGCTCTCACGTGAAAAACCAGAGCGGACCCAAATGGTCCCAACAGGGCAAAACAAGGCTATGGCACATGGATTGTGGGCACCTAGAGCTGGTTGAGGGATAGATGGATAGAAGACCTCCTTTTTAAGACTCTGTGGAGGTCCCTTGGCAAACCAGGCACCTGCTTATCTTTCACGATGCGCCAGAGGCCCAAAAACGACCCAGGAAGTTTACCTCGGGTACATAATTATCCCTCCTTTCTCTCTCCTCTTCCTGCAGCTTGATGGAGATGCCTCTCACCGGGCCTCTCTGGATCCGCTTCATCAGATGTGTGACATAGCTGCAAAGTGCACAAGCCAGTGAGAACCCTGAGCGCGCACCCCGGCCCCCGCCGGTCCCGGCCGTCTCCGGAGAGACGCACAGCAGCTGCGGTTCCTGCTACGCCGGGAGAAGGGGCAGGACTCACCACCCTGAGACCGAGCGCGGGCTCCGAGCGCGCACACCCAGCTCCGCCGCCTCGCACACACCCTTCTCGGCTCCCGTTCTTTCCGAGCCACCCAATCCTCCACCTCCAGCTTTCTCGGCCGCCGCCCGCCTCCCTTTCCCTTCCTTCCGACTTCCAAAGTCCCTGACCCGGCGTGTAACCAGGCCAGGCCTCGCGGTGCGGAGCAGGATCTCCCGGGGGTTCTGCCTGGCCAGCCCCGTCCGGGAGGGCAGGCCCGCAGGAGAACCCGCCGCGTCGGTGACGCTCGTCCCGACGCCAGCAGCAGGGCACCCGGCCCGCTCCCGAGTCGGAGCTCGGCGGACCCTGAGCCGCGGCTCCCCGTCCTCCACCAGGCCCGTCAACTCACCCTGCAATCTTGTTACGGAGCTTCTTGCTGGGAATAATGGCGATCTCCTCGCACACGCGCTTGTTGGTGTGGAAATCGTTGCCCAGGCGCGTGTAGTACTTCTCAATGATGACCCGGGCCGCCTTCTTCACGGTCTTGGTGCGGACGCGGCCCTGCGGGTTGGACAACACTGGGTCATTCGCGAGCCAGAGCAGCCCTCCGGGGAAAAGTGCGGCGTCCCGCTCCGACGGGAGCAGGGTTTGGGGGCTAGGGCTGAATCCCAGGGGAGAGGAGGGCCGGCCGGTCGGGAAGTGCTGGAGCGCGGGGCTCAGCGCGGAGGCCAGGGACCCGCGGAGGCCAGGACCTGGCGGGGTCCGGCGCCCGGCCTCGAGGGCTGGGGGCCGCGGAAAGCCGCGGATGGAGGACGATTGAGGGGGACGGGGCGTGGAGCCAAGATACCTACCATGTTGGCGGGTACAGTAAAAGAGGAAACAGGAAGCAACAGAGAGGCCTATAAAGCGCCGGCCAGAAAGGCGCTTCCGCCTAACCTAGGCCGCGCAGAGTCCTCCTCAGGAGCTCCACAGCGACTCCCAGCGGGGCGGGGCGGAAGTGCAGGCGGCCCATCCTCAGCCGGTGGGCGGGACGAGCGCTTGGCCCGCCCCCTGCGGGCGCGACTTCCGCTCCCTGCCCCGCCCCGCCCCGGTTTGTTCTGGGCTCCCTGCTTCTTGCTCGTCGGTTCTGGGGCTGGATCGCCTTACTTGGCCTAGACTAGAAGGGGTGCGTGTCTTCTGCACACGCCAGCGAGACGGAGGGAGCCTTTAGCGTCCTGGGAACGGTGATTCGGGAGTGCGGAAAGGTAAGGAAGCAGGGACGGTGCCCCTCCCCTCCCAGGACCCTCAGCCGTCCCTAAGGTCGGAGACGTGTGGGTTTAGCCTGGGGGCGGGGGCTACACCTGGGAGAGGCCGAGCTCGTTTCTTCCAGGTCATTGCCCAAGTGTCACCTTATCATGGGCTTTCCTTCCAACCTAAAGTAGCACCAAAGCCTCTTAAAGCTACTGTAAGATTTAAGTCACCATGACAAGCGCTGTTTCCTCAGCATAGGGCCACTTTGCTTAGCTAATTCCCAGCGCCCCGCAAGCTCTCAAACATGCAGAGGACCCAGCCCACCGGCGGTGCTCCCAGCCACCGAGGTACGTCCTCCAACCATCTGTCTTCAGGCTGTTCCTGCCGCACCCATTCCCAAACCAGGCCCTTCTGTAACCACCAGAGCAGACATCCCCCGGCTTTCCCTGTCCCCTCCTCTGGCTCTGCTCCCCCCAACTCTTGAGGCCAGCCCCAGGCCCCCACCTAAGGAAAGGCTGGGCTGGCCAGGTGGTAGGAGGTAAAGGGCCTCAGGCTGGGCCCCCGCCTTCAACTCCCTTCCTGGTCACCTTGGCCAGTCCAGACTCTGGATGGATGGGAACGGAAGGCTATACAGGGCAGGAAGCCCTCTACCTGCACGTGGCACCTTTCTTATCCTGAGAAGAGGGGCACAGAGGGGAGAAGAGATGCCTCTATGCCATATGGAATAGGACACCAAAAGGGTGGGCGCGTCTGGTCCTCTGAGGGAGTTGCAGGAGCTTTACCAGCAAGGGCAAACTTCATGGGAGGCTGCTGCCAGCCAGGCCTCGCATTCTTGGCCCAGGGACTCCCGCCACCCACTCCAACAGTGAATTCCTGCACATGTCGCAGAAGGGTTGCTTCAGCGTGCTGGGTTATCTTCCGAAGGATCGGCCCGGCAGCAGGGCCCAGGCACAACCTACCTGGGAAAATCATCAGCAGACTGTCTCACAAATCCTGGGAGTCTGTGATAAAGAGTCCAAATTAACAGGGCTCTTGAAGAGTAGCAAAAAGCAAGCTTCTCCCTCTCAGAAAGGGGTTGGGTCAGCACAGGTGAGTCCAAGAGGATGGGAAGCCTCCCAAGAAGAAATCTAGCCCGAGGCTTACAGGGGCAGCTGAGAACAGGGGGCCCGAGCTGTGCCTCCGGCTCCTCCAAGCTGGCTCTGAGGCTGTGAGAAGAGGAGCTCCAAGAAGCTATATGTGAGGGCTTTTTATGCTTGGACTAAAGCTATCCGCCTGCTGGAAAGGCATCTCCAAGGTGCCTTTGACCGTGAACCGACCAAGGAGTACGGACAGGGGCAGGTCTCCCACACGGCCCCGCCCTCAACCCGGGCTGGAATACCACCACAGTAAATCCAAGGAAACAGGGATTTTTACTCTCCAGTCATATAGCCCCTCGGCCCCACTGCTCCCACACCTGAGACAGAGACAGAAGCAGAACTCTGCTGCAACGTGTTTATTATGTGCCAAAAAAACTACACCACAGCTTACTCCACACGTCTGTAGGAGAGTGCAGTCTTGCCTGCATATACTACAATGAGGTAGAGACTTCACACACAGCTTCACAAAACCCACAGAGTAGCTGGGATATGCAACAATGCGACGTCAGCTCAGCAGGAGGGGGGGGAGGGGGTATGACACTGGTTCTTTGGCACACAGCTTCCCAAAGAGGGGCAAGTAGGTTTTGTTTTAAAAAAAAAAAAAAAAAAAAAAAAAAGTCAAGTTTTCAACTCCAGTAGCATTTCAGTGACTGCAACTGTTCCTTCATACATTTCTCAACTGAAAGAAATAAGGAAAGTGTACTTGTCCCCTCTGAGAGAAAGGGCTCCTGTGAGCCTTCATCTGCCCCCACCAAAAAGCAGCCCTTTTTTAGCTCAGTTACAAAAGAAAAAAGTCCTGTGACTTTGTGATTAAAAACTTCTATCAACCCTCCCCCCCACAGAAGTGCAACTTAAGAAGGTGCGATAAACCATTTAAAACTATATACAGCAGCCGCTCAAATACCGTTTATCCGGTCCAGTTTCAAATCCAAAAAAATTTTTTTATTCTTGGTTGCAAATGCCTTGATTTGCAACTGTGAGAAACAGTGACCAGCAGTCCCCCAGACACAGATTTGCTATCATGTTAAAAGCTGCCAGGAAAGAAAAAAAAATCTCTTGTTCCAAACGACTTAAAAACTGTTTTAAGGAGTGTAAAAAGGAACCGGTAAAAACCCTCGAGCGTAAAATATGAAATATGATTTTGGTTTAAATGAAGAGCAAAGTCTCCTTGTTGTTTACAGTAAAAAACACCAGCTGAACACTCAGTTTATGCCGTTCAGGTGGGGGTTAAATAAATGGAAAGGCACTGTATGGCAACTGCAAGAACAAACCCAACGAGACCTGCACACCATCACCATCAGTATTGCAAGGAATGTAAAAAAGCGCTTTTAATAAATAAACCTAGATGTAGGCATCGTGTCAATACCTTCCCGACACGTAGTTCTTTTTTTTTTTTCCTTTTTCTTTTTTTTTTTTTTTTTGCTTTTCATCGGCAAAATGAGGAACTAAAATCTGGGAAAACTACAGAGTCGCTTGGAGGGTGAGCCGGAGGGTCCTTGCCCTGGCGCACCCCCTGAAAACAAAACCCGACAAAACTCATTGTGCATTAATTAGTGCAGAAACAAAGACAGATTCAGCAAGTGCAAAGGTGACTACGGTTTTCCCTTGTCCTTGGGAAGCCAGCTCCCTGGTCGCCAGGGGCAGGATGGTGCAGGCCGCTGCCTGACCCGCCGGCCTTGGGCGCCACAGGCCACCGGGCACGGCCGGCTCCTCTAGCTGGCATCTCGGTTCTTCTGGTTCCGCATCAGGGGGCTGTGGTGGCGGAGGCCCTCCATGCTGTGCCGCCAATGCCAGCAGCTCCGGCAGAAGTACTTGAAGCACACCTGGTTGGGGGACAGGAAGAGAAGCCACGGCTGTGTTGGCACCAGCGGGAGCTGCTGCCCGTGCCGCCTGTCTGCCCTGGAGATGGAGGAGGGGATTCCTGGTGGTCTCCGTGGAGTTAGAAGACACGGTCTTGGGGAACCTTCTCACCTCTAACACACAGGCTGGACCAACCGTAGCAAATCCACTAAGTGCCCGACTCGATCAGACACGTCAGCTCCTACTGTGCACAGAGACCCTGCTGGCTCCCCTCATCCCTCCTACCGCCAGGGCTGCTCGTCAGGCCCCCTGCCCCTCCACCTCCTACAGAGCAGCTGTAGCCTACGTGGTTCCGTGTCCTAATGTGCTAGGCAACATGCTTCTCTCTTCACACTGAGGGCAGGTGACTGGGTATGTACCTCAGTCTCGGCCCCCCTCTTGCTAGCTGTGACACCTCAGCCCACCAACTTTTCAACAATTACCTGAAAATGGGGATCATCTGTTAACGATACGGACACATTCAAGTCTGCTAGAAGGGCTGATGTCAGCAATACTTGCTCACTTGTTCTAGGTTTTACCCAACAACCCAAATTTACCTCACACCCTCACTCTGGAGCCTCCAGCTTAACTCTTATCCCCTGGTTAAGAGCCTGAGCAATAAGCACCACTGGAAAAAAAAAAAAAAAAAAAAAAAGCCCAAGCAAGACTGACTGTGGGTATCTCAACAGGCCCGACTTACCCTAACTCTTGTCAAAGTATGGTACCAGCTAGCAACACTGGACCACTTGGAAACTCGTCAGGAATAATGAATTTCAGGTTCCACTCCAAGCCCACTGAATCAGAATCTGCATTTAAATTTTTTTTTTCAACGTTTTTTATTTACTTTTGGGACAGAGAGAGACAGAGCATGAACGGGCGAGGGGCAGAGAGAGGGAGACACAGAATCAGAAACAGGCTCCAGGCTCTGAGCCATCAGCCCAGAGCCTGACGCGGGGCTCGGACTCACGGACCACGAGATTGTGACCTGGCTGAAGTCGGACCCTTAACCGACTGCGCCACCCAGGCGCCCCCAGAATCTGCATTTAAACAAAATCCTTGGGGGCGCCTGGGTGGTTCAGTCAGTTGAACGTCCGACTCTTGGGTTTCAGCTCAAGTCATGATTCCAGGGTCATGGGATCAAACCCCACATCAGGCTCCACCCTGAGCATGGAGCCTGCTTAAGATTCTCTCTCTCAGGGGCACCTGGGTGGCGCAGTCGGTTAAGCGTCCGACTTCAGCCAGGTCACGATCTTGCGGTCTGTGAGTTCGAGCCCCGCGTCAGGCTCTGGGCTGATGGCTCAGAGTCTGGAGCCTGTTTCCGATTCTGTGTCTCCCTCTCTCTCTGCCCCTGCCCCGTTCATGCTCTGTCTCTCTCTGTCCCAAAAATAAATAAACGTTGGAAAAAAAATTAAAAAAAAAAAGATTCTCTCTTTTGGGGCACCTGGGTGGCTCAGTCAGTTAAGCTCCTCACTCTTGATTTTGGCTTAGGTCATGATCTCACACAGTTTGTGAGAATGAGCCCCACGATGGGCTCTGTGTTGACCGTGAGGAGCCTGCTTGGGATTCTCTCTCCCCACCCCAGTGCCCCTCCCCTCTTGCACTCCCCCCCTCTTCTCTCAAAAAATAAAAATAAACAAGATCCTCAAGTGATGTGTGTTCATTAACACCTGAGAAAGACTACCCCAACACATCCACATCCCTGCTCCCACCCAGGAACATTCAACAGAAAGCTGCCCATTTCTCACAACTGTGAATATAAACCAGGGACAAACACAAGAGTGCAGAGATTCACAAGTACAGAAGGGGTTCCTGAATAGGGAAAAATCAGTCGAGAAGGCCTGTGTTAGAACTATGGTACCTGGTCACAGGTGCTGCTGACCACACCCACCCAGCTTCCTTTCATCCACCAACACTCCCTGCTGGCCTCAGGGTGACACTGCACACAACACCCCAGGCACAGGGAAGGCCAGCGTATCAAGACTGGACTCAAGCTTTCCCAAGAGTTTTCCATCAAGCTATCAAAGTGTATCCCTGCTCTCACCATCAGAGAACATTACCGCTGCCTCTTCTGTGCTCTTAGACAACCGCAAGGTACCTGAGAGCACCAACCTTCTAGTGACAAATGTTACAGGACAATTTTTAATTGAGGGTAGGGACTTCCTAGACATCTGGAGTGCCCCAGGGGACTCACCTGATCTCGACAGAAGAAAGGACCAGGCTGAGAACTGCAGATATGACACAGAGAATCTTCTAGGTAGGGGTCAATCTGAACCTGCACAAAGCAAACCAGGAGAACGAAGTGGTTCTTCTCACCAGGAGGCTAACGGGCCAGAGGAGAAGGGACATTACCGGGCAACAGTAGTGCAGGATGTTTACTGTTTTAAAGGTGAGAACTGCAGGGAGAGAGTGTACAAACACAGCCGCCAGAGGACAGATTCACACGTCCCCCAGAGCTGGCTGGCAGGCTCCACAACATGAGTCTCTGAAACTATACGCCAGCAGTTGATCACCCAGCAACAGGTAAGCATTCAGAGGACGCAGGTCAGGTTGGAGAATGGGAAGCCGGCTGCCCAGAGATGCCAGTCAAATACCCAGTGAGGGAAGACACCCCACATACTGAAAAGGCTCAACAATCCCAGCTTCTCTCCCTCCTGAGCCTGCCATCGCCAAGCCACTCCCAACCCCAGCCTTCACCTGAGTGCCCAGGAGCTTGACCCACTGCCTGGGCACCCGCAGCACACAAACAGCTTTGGTCTCAGGCCTGCCCTGGGTAGTAAAGGCTCAGAGTAAAGGTACAGACCAGCACACTCACCTTCTTGGTGAACTTGGTGGTTTTGATCTCCACAAAAGCAGCGCTGACTGCTTTCAGGTAACTGCGTTGGTTATTGAAAGTCACACGACCAGATCCTAGAGCAAGAGAACAAACCTCTCTTCTACCCAAATTCTCCCAAATGCTGCTTGTCAACACTGAAGATACCCTGTTTCTAGACCAGGGCCATGAGACAGAAATATAATAGGAGATACATAATTTTAAGTCTCCAAAAGCCACATTTAAGTGAAAAGTGGTGGAATTTTTATAATTTATTTAACCCAATATATCCAAAATATTATCATTTCAACATGTGGCACTAGCTGTATTTTAAACACACAGCAACCACACTTACCGGACAGCGTAGTTATAGACCACGGTGGCACAAGCCACTCAGGAATGGGGAAGGATTCACGGACTGATTTGGGGAGGAAAGTGGGGCGCCTGGTGACTCAGTAGGTCGAGTATCTGACTCTTGATTCTGGCTCAGGTCAGGATCCTAGGTTTGTGGAATGGAGCCCTACATCCAGCTCCATGCTGAGCGTGGACCCTGCGTAAGATGCTCTCTTTCCCTCTCTCCCCCTCTGCCCCTCCCCAGTCACACATCTCTCTCTCTCAAAAACAACAACAAAAAGAACAAAACTCACAAGAAAACAAACAAAAAGAAGCGGGAAGGAAGAGACCCCTCTGGCACAGACAGATACACAAAGAACACCTGTGTACAGGTGATGCAGCAGGCACCCCTCCGGGCCAGGAGGCAGCCTCATCCTGACTAATGCTGCCCCTGCCCCCACAGCCTCTGACTCCCTGTCCTCAGTCTGCAGCACAGCACTGATGAGTACACGGTGCTCCTTCCTGATCAGATTCAGTGTGGGTGGGCAGACTAAGCATCTGGGGAAGTGGGTTAGCCAGGTCTTGATCAAAAAGTTCAGGCTCTGCTCCCCCTCCGAACTCCACCACCAAGGTACCTCTGCTAGGACTGGGGAATGAATCTCCCTTCCCAGGGGGGCTGACCCAAAACCCAGCATTTAGGCCCGCAGACTCCCCTAAGCTAGGACGCCACAGGCCATGACTACACGCTGTTGCTCGAGTCTATCGGTGTTGTCCCTCAGCCTGACCCTGGTCTCTGACCCTAGAGACAAGGCCACTTTTCAAGAACTCTTAACAACAACAACAAAAACAGGCAAGTTCAGGGAAGTCCTGGCCTTTTAATGAAAGATTACCTGTTGTCTGTCCCAGACTGGTTTAGTTTCCAAGTAAAGCTCCTATGTCATCTTCCCCTCCTATCACTTCCTATGTTCCCCTACCGCTTTCTCCCCGTTCAAGGGAAGTGGTAGGGAGAGAGGTAGGCACAGACGGTCAGTACTGGTGGCTTATCTAGAAAAAGATGCTATGCTGCTCATCTATGCTCATCTGCAGACCTGGGTCAGGCCTCCCTCTCCATTCCCATGGGAAGTATTACAGTCTTGGTCTAGCACAGTCCCAGGGGCCACCAAGCTTTCCCACACAGAAATGGGACACTTACCAATGGGATACTTGTGCTTATCTGTGTCAATCCCAGCATACACCACTCCACCAAATAGGTCGTTCAAGATGGCTGCCAGGGCCTCGGCGTTGAGCATCCCGTGCAGGGCACCAACAAACACCGTCCTGCTGGGGTCAAGTCTCTGAGATGGGCTCCGGACAAAGTTGCTGTCAGCCAAGACCCAGGGGATCACCTGCACCTGGAAACCACCCAAAGGTGGATCAGCCCTGGCTAGGAGCCAGAGAGAGACAGGTTCTTGTACCGTGAGGCGCATGCTCGGGAGATGCTCAAATGGACTGCCAAGACCCATCTAGTGGGGGAGGTGTACTGCCCAGTCCCAGGCACACAGGCACTTGGCAGCCACCTCACCAGACCCAACCAAAGCTGCATTTTACTGAGTCTTTGTGTCCAAAATGGGGAAAAGAAGCGCAAGAGCAGTCACTCACCCTGGAGAACAAGCACAATGGTACCCAACAGTCACACCCAGGAACCTAGCACTCTGTCACAACCTTCAACCGTGTGGTTCCAGCAGAGGACCACAGTCACTGATGAACAGAGATCATGAAGGACTCAGAAACTGAAGGACAGAGCTGGAAGGACAGGGAGTGGGGATACTCGAGGTACCACTGTGAGACAGCTCCTGGCCCAATGTGCGCATCAGCAGGCGTGCCAGGAGCAGTGAAGTGACCAGAGAGATGCAGGTGGCAGTCTAACAGAGCAGCGACACACCAGGGCAAGAGCTGACTGGGTCCTTTACCTCTGAGTCCCCTGAGCCTAGAACAAACTCTGGCATAGCAGGTAGAGAACTCCACAAGGAAGGGAGCGGACAGACGAATGCTGTTTTTGGAAAGGTATCTGTGAAAATCCAACAAGTCTCAAAGCAGAAAGAGAACGGAGGCAGAAACCAGTGGCTGGGAGGACAGGTGAGAAAGACGTGGAGGAGGCTGGTGGCACTGGGCACACAACAGGCCAAGACCAAGAAGATTCTTCAACAGAGGGGTCAGACCGCCTGGGCATGGTGGGAAAGTGAAGAATCGGTGCTGATGGGGTCCAGGCCTAAAAGACCTTAATGAGCATCTGACTGGGGGGAGCTCACTTCACTGGAAGATGAAAAGCCAATTTTGCTTCTTCCACCCCCATGGACAAGTATCACAGTCTTGGTCTATATCCCAAGGGCCAGCAAGCTTTCCAAGCTTTTCCTTACACTGAACACAAGAGTCTAGGATTATAGGGCATCGTCAAGAAAGGCCCCATGGGAAGGTGGGGCTCATGGAGGACATGAGTCTGGGTCTAAAAGTGAGAAGAGAGCCACAGGAGTGAGTCGTTTAAGTGACAGGGAGAGATGAGAAGAGGAGGGAGTTCAATGCCGACCGCACTGGGGGCAGGGAGGGGACACAAGGAAGTTAAGTGTCTGAGAGGAAAGGAGAACCAGGACAGCCTACAGCCAGCACATCAAAGACAGACATGTAATCACTGCAAGGGGATGCGGCAAAACAGGAGACAAGGAAGTTGTCAGCAGGGGCACGGAGGCGGCTCAGGGGGTCTGTGGTATGGCCGTGGCAGCCTCTCCCTGTGAAAGCAGGGGACAGGGACGAAGGAGCGTGTTAACCAAGCCCTGGAGTGTAACAAGGTGGGAGAGCAACACGGGCCCCACACAGCGACAAGACAGCAGTGCCGCACTGAGGAAAGCAGTGTGGTGGGTCTCTGTGCAGCAGGAAGACAAACTTACCCTGTCACTAAGAATGTGAACTAATACCAGGAAACATCTATAAAACAAAGAGTCAGCTTTGTTACTTCCATTATTTATTTTAAATCCGATGTGACCATGTCAGTAGCTCCCCCTCCGCCCTTTACCCTACAGATTTTACTTTCTGGAGCAGTTTTAGGGTTCACAGCAAAACTGAGCTGACAGTACAGAGTCCCCATATCCTTGCCGCCTCACCGCATGCAAAGCCTCCCCTGATATTAGCATCCCCCACCAGAGAGGTACCTTTGCTACAAGCAGTAAACCTTTATCAATACATCACTAGCTCCCAAGTCCATGGTTTACATTAGAGTTCAGTCTTGGTGTCTGTTGTACATTCTAGGAGTTTCCACAAATGTGTGATGACATGATTGCACCATTACAACAGAGTAGTTTCACTGCCCTAAAAATCCCCTGTGCTCCACCTATGCATCCCTCCCTTCCCCCTGACCCCTGGCAACTACTGATCTTTTTATTAAAATAGGCATTTCACGTTTCACTTGTATAGACAAGGAAATGAAGTTTCAGATATATTAAATATCTAGTCCAGTGTCATGAAAGTGATGTTCTCTGGAACCACATTAAAAAAAACAACAACACTGATTCCTCAACGCCAAACTTCCTCTGACAAGTGGTTTTCAAGCATCAACTGCTAGAACCATTGGGGAGCGTGGTCCAAAGTGGAGAATCTGTAGCTCCTCCCAAACTGATTCAGTAAGTCTGAGACAGGGCTCAGGAACGTGCAGTGAGGGCTGCAGGTAGAGTACCTATGCTAGAGACCCATGATGCTCAGGGCACAGGCAGACACGGCCAGGAGCAGGAGAGGCAAAAGGAGAGAGAAGTGTATGGAGGAACGTACGCAGCTAATGAAGCCCCGAATGGGAGTGCAGAGGTGATCCACAGATGGTGTGGGCCAAAGAGGAATTTACCCACCAGAGACAGGAAGGTTGCAAGGCACAGCCTGAGGGCAGGTCTAGGGAGAAACAGCTGTAGATTATCAGTTAAACCCAAGTGGAGAAAGCTGTTGTTTTCATTTCTAAGACTAGAGGTTTGGGACAGAAGTGTTGGCTGGAGTAAGGGCCGGGACACAGCCTGATCACCACAGGCAGGAGCACACATACACCATTGAGGACCAAAGATTTTTGTTTTTCTAACACAACAGAGTATCTTGCTGTATTTACTGTAAAACAGGAGGAGCAGCCTTTTGGCCACAACAAGAATCCTCATCCAGCCGCCTGCATATTCACCCACCTGTGGGAGACCCACTGCCTCATGCACCAACTACCCCGACCCAGAGAGGACCCCGGGCTAACACACCTCCTTGCAGCGCATCCTTCGGCTGGACATCTTGAAGTAATATTCACTTAGGCCATCTGGGCTCAGCGGGTCATGAGAGCAAGCCTGAAGCAAGGC